TGTTGCCCCTAAGATTTGTGAAAGATAACCTACTGTATCACTGTATGTATGTTGCCAATGTTTACTTGTTATCATCAGGGACTGGAGGTGTGAAAATCCAGAGCTGGAATTTCTTTTGTGTAATATTGAATGGATTTCTGCACAAGCCAAATTTAGTTCCTTTTACTTTGTCTTGCTCTCTGTATGTGCGTCGCACGCGTGCATACTTGTCTCTGTGTTGTGTAACAAATTCTTTTACCTCAGGCTTGCGAAAGAGGTTGTGATGCCAAGAGCACCTTCTGCAATCTTTACAACACAGTTAAGCGTAGTTGCCCTTTCATTACTAGCAATTTTAGATACCTGCACTGCCAGCAAAACATGTGTTGCCTTTTGCTTTAACAGGGCTGAGAATTGACAATGGAATATAAGGGGAATGTATCTATTATGGGGCCTCTATTTTAAGGTTCTGTAGGGACCGAAGGCCGACTTCCTGATGCCAATGGCAAGGCAGCTGGAGATTTGGGAAAGATGGCCATAGTTGCTGACAGTTAATGCTACTTCCACACACACACACACACACTGGATTTGGTGTTATTTAAAGTGTCCTATGTAGTGGACGGAATTTGGTTGATTGCACTGTTCTCTTTTCGAGGATGGTTAAGAGTTGCAATTCTCAGTTTTCAGGGTTCTTTGTGTCGGTGCCTCTTGATTATGTCCAGTCTGATATTGTATTTCGGAATATTGAATGATATTGTGTTGAGCTTAGGATGCTTGTAGTATCTCCCACAAGTGGTAGAAGAAATTCAACCCTTGAATGGTGAATATCCTCAATACCTGTGAAAGGAAATTTTGAACCACATGCCGTTGTTAGCCCTTGACCCATGTCCAATAACTGATAAAACATGCAGAAAGACTGATGCAATCTTTAGAATTTCTAATGGTATCTTAGGTAGTTGGAAAATCATGGTATAAATTTTGGCATTGAATATTGATCTATTTTGCATTAGCAAAAAGTAAGTCTTGTGTCAATTTTCAAATTTATTCAGAAGTTAAATACTGAAAAATTTCTAATGGTATCTTAGGTCAAGTTGTTCTTGTGCTAGAGCAACATAGAAGCTATAGATTCTCATAAATGTTTGCCCGAGAAAGTAGATGAAAAAGGAGCTCTCTGCTGCCTGCCAATCACTTTTTTTGTTTTTTGTTTTCTAAAGCAATGCAAATCACTTTGTCTGCCACAATGTTTGTTTTAACTTTTTTGTGTTTATAAAACAATACATTGATTTTATACATGTACCGAAAGACATACATCTCATTGAGCATGAATGAAAGTCATAAGCTACATTGGCTATGACTTCTATTTGGACTGAATGCCATACATACATCATTTCATGCGGATACACTCCCAACCATCCTTCATGTCCATTCCACATTTCTTGTGAATGACTCAAATCAAAACACTTGTAAGATTCTATATGTATATGAAATTCCACCAACAAAGTTAAGACAGAAACAGCTGAAGTAAAATTCAAGAAGCAAGTACATGAATGGATAACAAAACCTCCTCTATGAAACAACAAACATTTCCATTTGCTTAAAAACTTCTGAGCACTCTCTTTGTTCCAATTAAAAGTCTGATTATGTGACCAATCGCCCTGCCCCCAATGGGGGAATAGACAACATAAATATAAATTGGAAAATAATAATTGTATTTAAACATATAATAATATTAATAATAATAATTGTATTTAATATGTGAACCTATCTTCCAGATTAACTTTCCTCCTCCCATAAAATTATCAGTAATGAAGTCCCTACTTCTTACACCTGACAAACAAGAAATCACGTAATCCCATTTTTCGTGCAAGAATCACCAAGGATCAAAATTTCGTTACAGTGTGGGGGTTTGCCTTCATTTTAACTCTGTACTTCATTGTTTTATCTTTTATATACACAAACCAATTTAGGGAAAAATAATAATAATAATAATAATAAATCGTTAGTGTGTTGTTTTCAGTTTTCTGGGAACCTGCTGTTAACTCCATCAAAGTATAATTTTACAAAACAACCATTAGTAAATAGTTCCTCTAAAACGATAGTGGTGGTGGAGTGCAACTACAGAACAATAGGCCACTCTATTTCCTTCAGTGTGTAGCATTTATTGCCATGAAGTTATTTTTTGCCTAAAGGTAACCCACCTCATGAAATTGGCATCTGCAGGCATGCAAGAAACAGGAACAAAGCTTGCTGAATTTTGTGCGCATGCTCTTCTGGCCTTGGAAGTGGTCATACATCCTAGGGCTTTTCCACTGATAGATTTCCCGTCTGCCCAAAGTGGTCCCTTTGATGGAGTTAACAGCAGGTTCCCACAAATTTCTAGTCAGATACACGGTACACCCATGTCTTTTAACCTCCTAACAAGCCCCCCACCCCACCACACACACTATGGAACAAAAAAGTAACAAAATGAAAGAGAACCTCAATAAAACTGGTAATTTAATTATCCCAAGGCCTTGATAAATCCAAACTATTTACTTAAAGAAAGTCCAAATCTATCCACAATGTAGGCTTTAAATAATAGAATCCGGCCAAAAGTTGCAGGAAATATGAAAAACAGATAGATGCATCAAGCTTAAGGCCACCTGCAAAAATAAGCCCCCTAAAATTCACACCTGATTTCCCATTGATAAAATAAGCCCTCTGCAATTTTCCCCAATATCCACTCTGCCTGGTAAAGATAAGTCATTCTACTTTACCCTTGAACCTCTTATAATGCCTTGTTCATCTCATTTTTCAATCTACATAAAAATATTTTCCAAAGGCCAGAAGGCCCCAAACTACAAAAATTCCAATCGAGTCGATCGTAAAATTCCAATTCAAGCTCGTAAGCCTTTAAGACAGCAAGACCATACATTTCTTGCAAATCCATTAAAAATTTGGATCCCATCCTCTCTTCCTTCTACATGTTCTTGAAGGAAACTCACAGCTTTCAGAAGGTCCAAGCTACTTCATAACACTGATCAAGCCCTAAAATAGAACAATTGGAGGAGACTGAAAACCTTATCAACAAGTAAACACATGGTAGCAGCAATCTCTCTCTCTTTAGAATCATCACTGACAGCAATCAACATAACCTTCATACAATAAGTTGAACAGCGTACAAGTAAATATAATAAAAATAAAGAAAGCAAGAGCATTCTATTTGGATAGTCATTTGATAGCACTCTTTATTCAAATCAATTTCTATAACCAAAAATTTCTAAAGGATAACTAAAAATGTCATGAAGAGGAGACCGAGTCAATCTTTTATCTTCCTTCCAACAACAACCCAATACTTTAGAAGCTTCTCATTGCCTTAAACCTTAAATTAATATAAATTGTAACAGAAAGAGCAGTCACTCTCTTTCCTTAATGCATTTGAATAGAAAATTCATCCCTAACAAGTTCTTTTCTTAATCCTGTCAAATATATAGCTTGGTTTCAACTACATATCCAACGTTTCACGTAATTTTTGGGAAGAAAAAATATATATATTTATAAAACAAGAAGCCTAATAGACCCACTCCCCTTAAATATTGGTTGGTCTGCCCATTGTCATATAAAAAGTGGGAAGGTGTCCAGAAAATATCTCACACACAGTAATTAAACAAAGTTCAAAGGTAAAATATGGATTAATTCTTCAAAAGACTTCCATAAAAATCTATAACTAGCAAAAAGAAGACTACTTCAACACTACGTGAATAAAAAAGGCAGGAATATCTATTGATATTCTATTTCCAACATATCAACATTGATCCAAAGTCATTTAATCCATCACAACCACAAGAAAGTGTCTAAAAACAGTCACTCCAAGTGTGTTAAATACTAATATGATGTCCTAATTAAGTCAATTGAGATTCATTCATCACAAGATCCAGAGGGAGCATAATATTTAGCTCATTTTAACCAAGGAAACTGCCCTTCATGTTAAGTTGGAAAAACTAAGCATTACTTCTCATTATGGCCCTTTGTACTCACTTCTTGTTACTTTATCCTAGAATGCTCTTTATCAACTTACATCACCATTCAGATGCAAAAGGTGGTAACTATTCCATGATCTACCTAGCAATGCCCTTCATTTTGTCAAATATGTCAAATTTCTCCTCTTCACTCTCTACCTTATCTCTCTACAGTACTACAATGCCCAGCAGACTGTAGGCAGGATAACAACATCAATGCATGTCATCTTTTCCAAAATCAGTCAATATATAACTCCACTACTACGACATAGAGATTCTCATTCACCAACCACAAAACCCAGAATTCCATAAATCTTCCCCATCTCGTTCCCTCTTCAATACCATCATCAAGTCGTCGTCAATTCCCTCTACAAAATTGTGATAAACAAACTTTTGACTTTTTCAATCTCTCGAGCAAATTAGAGAGAAGACTCTGTACTACAAAAGTAAATTATTATATAAAACCCAATTTTAATGCTGATAAATGAGGAAATGAAATGAAATTAAATTCCATTCTTGGGGATTTTTTTTTTTTTTTCCCCAAAAGATAAAAAACTAAAAATAAATCACCAAAAGTGCAGAAAATATCAATTTTAGCAGTTTAATATATTATACCCAGTGTATACCCCTCCCTGCCACTACTAAAACTCACAGATGACATTCCTTCACACCCTGACAACAAAGATGGCAAGACTTTAAAAATGTCGAATAGAAAATCATAAGCTCCACTAGCAGATTATCATATCCACAAATTATGTTCTATGCAATCAACAATAATAGTAACAAATTTACAAAACGAAATAACAGAATGAATGCAGATATCAAGCCATGACCAACCCTCCTGATATTCCCTAAACATGAAACAAATACCATAGTCATATAGAACATGTACTAGAAAGAAAGAACACCAAAGTTAATATTAAACATTTTTTGTAAGAATAAGTGGACCACCAAATGCCAACAGTTACTTCTATAGTTCTATTTAGCCATAAATCCCTAATTCTAACAGCTGAATATTTATGAACGTCGAGCACAATCACCAAAATGAACATAAAACATCTTAACAGAAACATAAAGAATGACCCGATACAAAAATTTCTTCCATTTCGGGAGAAATGCCTCAAGCTAACATCAGATGATGCAGTAAACTATTCCTAAGAGACCCAGTAAGCCTATAAAAATAAAAGGAAAAAAAATGAATTTCCATTAAAACCAAGGCAAACAAGAAGCCTCTGAAAAGGAACCAATATGAAAATCGTATGGAATACAGATAGAAGAGATTCAACCGAATGCTAAGCATGAAGAATTTTAGCAAACTCAGTTCAAAATATCACTAGCATAGAGAAGAGCGTGTAAATCAAGAAACAGGCATACGCAATCAATCCACGGTGCTCATCCCCACAAGAAGCCAACTCCACCAAAAGCCTCGCGCAAACCCGAGTCGACCATATGACAAAAACCCCAGCCACAACGAAAATAGGCACCCCACCTTGCGGAACAAACAGCGCCATAGCCGATAAAATCACCATTGGCAACATACAGTACCCGATCAAACTCACACACCGATACAAATCCAAATTCCCATTTCGTCCTGCCAACATATTGAACACCACATACAGAAACAGAGCCGACACAGTGACCCATCCCAATATAATCCCAAAATGTAGCTTCCCGGCGAGCAGTTGAAACAATCCGAAGGCCATCAAGAACAGAAACGGACCAGACAAGTCAGCATCTTCATAAAGATCGGCCTTTACTCTAAAAGGGTTCAAGATTGAGACAGACTTGCTCCAGATTTGTTTGGTATTGATTCCTAGTTCTTCAAGCAGAGGTGGTTCATCCTCGAATCCGGTACCGATTCCGATATTATTGCCGCCGAATTGTGGGGCGGACAAGGAGGTGGAGGCGGCGGCAGAGCTGATGTCGAATGACATGAAGGGGATGCCAGGGTTTGCTGATCGCGGCGGCTGGAACGGCGCCGTTGGGAGTCTCCGCTGCTGAGCGCCGGCACCGGGGTTTCCACCGGACGGGAAAACCACCGGCGGGACATTGAATTCTTTCGACATGATCAAAGATCTGTATATATCGATTTGGAAACTTGGAACTTACGAAAGGAAAAATTAATAGTGGGGCGTCGAGATTAATTGAAGAAGCTTGTAAAATTTGAGCCGAAATTTTGGGATTTTAGGTCGAAATCATGATGAAACCGAGTGACGACGATTGAAGAGATCCAAGGATGCAGACACTAAAAATGTCGGAAAATTAGGGTTTTGAGATTTTGAATCTAAAGAGAGATCTGTGCATAGATGGATTGTAAGAACCGAGAAAGAGTATTGAATAGATCGTATGTTGATGCAATTAGAACGTATGTATATGGGTTTGTGTGTGTGTGTGTGTGAAGATAGAGAGAGAGATTTGGTAGCATATTTCACGTCATAATGCAAAGTTGTGGCAATGCTAGAGTACAGTAAATAAAAATGAATTTTGTATTAACATTTTGAATAAATGGTTTTAGCAATTAGTAATCCAAATTCCCATTTTGCAATGGTGATTCACCGATTACCGTTGTTTAAGAGAGAGATCAACCATCGCCACGTATACGCACACACCCAATGCAGCCCCGCTTTTTATATTTTATACGTACTAATTTTAATTTTTTATTTATATATCTATAAAATTTAAAATTTGCCTCCTTGAAATTATAAAAAAAACTTTACCATCATTAATGGCGGATGCAGGGGCTCCCAAACCCTTTTATAAAAAAAAAAAAATTTAGTAACATTAGTTCATTTCAGAATATATTAACCCACTTCAAAATATATTTCACTTATAATATTATTTTTATTAAAAGTTATCCCACCGGCCACCCCCATACACTTCTATGGATCTGTTCTGCCAAAGTAGAGAGAGGAGGAGCACAAGAGATCAATTATTTATAAAATATAAGTAAATAAATGTGGTCACAAATTATATAATCAAACTCACTTAATTAAATAATTTATTTATAATTAAATATTTTTTTCGTCCCATATTAATTGTACAACTCCAAAATTTTAACTCACTGCCGTTTTTTATTTTTAAATCATTTAAGATTATTTTTAGTCATATTCTTTTTATATATTTATATATTATTTATATTTCATGTCAGATATATATTTCAGTAATTTTGATTAATAAAAATTGTGAGTCAAATTTTTTTAAGAGGACAATTATTATGCGAGGGAGGCAGTAATAAGGTGATTGACTCAATCAAGATACCAAGATAACCTCTTCTTTAAGAAAAAAAGTAAGGGTAAAAAAAAAAAAAAAAATGGGGTAAATGGATTGAGGTTTACGTATAGACATGCAAAGTAAATTCATACTTTTAAAATCATTTTCCTTTTTATAATTAATATAGGGCTTAGTTTCAAAATTCATATTTTTATAGTAATTATTTTTTAAAAATGTGCACAATTGGGCATATTAGACGTCAATAAATTTGGTACTGTTGCACTAGAGTTTTTGTTTTTTTGGTTTTTTGACAAAGCAGTGGAGTTCACAGCCACAGAGAAATGGCGGCGATAAGCCGACTGCAACTCCTCCAACCGTCGCTGTTAGTGAAACCCTCCGTCATTTTACCCAAATTCCTTCGCTCTTCATCACCATTCTCTAACCCCTATATCTCCGGCACGCGTCTCCGTAAACTCTCCGTTACTCCCCCACACTGCTCCAGCTCCGATCAAATCCCCAAGGTCACTTTCGCTCTCTAAAATTTATGTACAATTTTAACTCCTGTTACTCGGTTATATCTATACTCTGTTGGTGTCAAATGTCAATGCAGAGTTCTTCAACTTCAGGATCGAGTCCGTCTATAGTTGGTGATCTTCTGGATTATCTCAACGAGTCTTGGACTCAATTTCATGCCACAGGTATTCCAAACGACTGTTTTAATATATGTATATATATATATGTGCGTGTTTTTTATATATACATGTATGTATTAATGTATTATATATACACACAATTGCCTACACACAAATACGTAAATGGTATTCGGTTTCAATTTTGTTTTTGTATTGGGAACATATCACGGGATTGTTTCTGACATTGACTTAGGAAATGATATCCAGAATTAATTTAGGATTGGAATTTATATTTACCCGAATTGCATGTACAATTACTGACTTACATAATACAGATTTGGCTATATATGTGCTTCTGTGTATTTGGATGCTTACATTGGATTGTAAGAGTAAAACATGGAGCTCTCTGATACTATTTGTTTTGTTTCCACCTATTGGTACCCAAGTTCTGCACAGTGTGCTCGAGTCTTGAAGTACCCTGCTTTGCTGTTATGCTCAACTTTGGTATCCCAACACTCTTAAGAAATTAACAGCTCCCTGCTCATACTCTGGTGTGAACTTTTGTCTCTCACTCGCATCCCTGCAGAAGCGTGGTTTCATCTCTCTCATGAGTTCAATCCCTTTTTCAATCAATGACCTAGGCATCTATTTATACAGTGTTATCCCAAGTATTATGTTGGACAAGGAATACAATTTTTTCTGGTATGAGAATTTAGAAGACAGTTCTTTTAAATAAAACCCCAAGGATAGTAGGAATTTGAGGCATATCTCAACACAATTTTCCTACATGTATAAATGAAAATATTCGAACTGAAAAATGAATTTCAGGTGTGAACACCCTTGGCCCGTTTCATAAGTTTCATGTATTTATAAATGAAATATAGACGAAAGTGAACTTTTGGTCTTATACCTGCTGTTGAATCCTTCAAAGTAGTAGGCTTTTGGCGTCTGTTTTAGCTTGTTGGAGGCCATAGCATAGATTGATTTACTGAGCTTGTGTAGCAATTTAGGATTCCTAGGAGAAGAGAAGCTTGGAGTTGCTGAGTTGGAGGAGGCTTAATAGACCTTACTTTTTTGTTGGTCTCTCACTTGCCTATGTTGTCAATAGGTGTGGAGCCTAGCTTGTGGTTCCGATCAGTAACGTGTCCATATTACCAGCAAGAGCTCATAACAAATATTGTAGTTAGTATATCTCAACCTCTGATGTGGACACCAAAACTTGTCCCACGGTTCCACCATATAACCAACATGAGGTCTTCTCCTCAGCTTGTTCAGCCAGACCAAACCAATCGTCAGTCTTTTATGCCTTGTTTAGTATGAAGGTTGGAGCAAAGGGGGAAAGGTAAGAGCCCTTTATTTCCATGTTGTCTAGTTGAGTAAAATGTAAATGAAGAAGGTATTGCAGGGATAGTGCATTATCTGCATATACATGTGTATGTGTATATGCAATAAACACCAGCTAGAACCAAAGGATGAGGAGCTTTTCAACCTCGGTGAAGCATTTACAATGTGATAAACATCTCACCTCTTATAGTGTGCTGTGATCCAGTGATTGTGCTGCAACATTTTAACTATTTGTGATCCCTACAATAATTGTGTGCCTTCATGGTACATCATAATCCCAACAATTGTCCTGCAATATTCCCATTATGTTATGATCCCCATGACAATCCACTTCGTATTGCTCTTTATATACTTAATGTGTGCAAGAGTGGTGCCTCCTTGGCAACTTTAGCCTACGTTTTGCGGGAGGGAGGGCAGGGGAGGGATGGAGCCTTTGTTTGGTAGAGCGAAGAGACAGAGGGGAAGGATGAGAGGATAGGTGAGGCATCCTCCTAGCCCACCATTTTACTTCCTTCCATATATTGGGAGGAACTAGAGAGAGAAGAAAGGATATATGTTGGTTGGATAGCGTTGAAAAGACTTAATTACCCTCATTATTCGGTATTTATTTATATATTTACAGGTTTAGTGGTAAAAAGTAATATTATCCATATCCTTTCCTTCCACTCAACCAAATAAAAGGAGGGATGGATGCCCTACCTTCCATTGATACGCCTCTTCCATCCCTGCTCCTCTTCCTTTCATCTATTTTTATATCCCTCCTACCAAATGAAGCATTAGTGGATTGCTGGATTGCTTTTATCTATAAAAAAAAATCTATGAAATTGATTTGTTAGTTTCATATACTTCATTCATATTCAAAAGAAATAAAATTCAGACTGTATATAAGTATTCCTAAATTTAAACTTTATTGTGAAAAATCAAAATCCAAGCATGTGACAACCTACAAGGATCTATTAAAATTTAAATATATATATTGTTTAAAAAAAAAACAATTCAACAGCATGTTTATACTTAAATCTAACATGAAGACGTAGATCTACAATAATGATACATGGATCAACATATATTGATCACAATTATATGTTTATATGGGTATTGGGCTTCTTGGATTACCCAAACAACCTAGCACAAGAAACAAAGTGCCTTGCAAGACAGCTCTGTCTCAGTTGATCTATCCTCAGTCTGTTAATCCAACCCAATATCATTTTTTATGCGTACCGCTTGCTGCTCGTCGATCCCAAGTAGACTTAATTTCTTGCCGAGACTTTGGACGTTGGTTGATTCCGTTGCAGGAAAAACAGAGGGAATTAAGCAAGACAGGTGTCAAACTGAATGGAACTATTTGGTTTAGAATACTTCAGATTCAGAACACAGCCTGATCAACACATTTTGATAAGTGATAGAAGGAAAATATGCAATATCCTATTTTCTTAACCATAATCCAATCAGCTTTGAATGTGTTGCAAAATTATATAATTAAAACTACCTCATGTTGACAATGCTGGGACCTTTCATATATTACTTGGCTCATTGATCTTAATTGGCACGAGAATCTTGCAATAAGAGTCTCTAACAATACATGCATTGATAAAATGATGAACATATGTTATATTGGCTGGTTATATTGTGCAATGGCAGTTTCCGACATTTATTTTCCCAACTATTTTGTATTGAAGTGTTTATAGATTTAACTGTACTAGTGCCACAGTTGGGGGTACGGCAATATTGATCTTAGTCATAGTAAGGCTGTCTTGAGACAAACGAGTGTATTAGTTCATGTTTCTCTTTGATGCTATGTAATAACATCTATAGTTTTGCAGAAATCTCATGGAAGAAAATAGAAAATGAGTATTTGCTTTGATGTTTGGTGACAAAATATTTTATTCCTGCTTACTGTCTGTCCTTTGTTGTAGCTGAAGCAAAACGGCAATTAATTGCTGCTGGATTTCATTTGCTAAATGAGAGTGATGAATGGGATCTGAAGCCTGGTGGACGCTACTTCTTTACTCGGAATATGTCTTGTTTGGTTGCTTTTGCCATTGGAGAAGAGTGAGTGAATTCATCCTATCTGGTTTAAATTTTACACTCAAGATAGTTACACTGACCGAATACTAGAGGTTTAGGTGCATTCCACACCATTTATTGTGATCCACATCTTTATGTGGCACTCATTTTGAAGCAGTCAGATTATTATCCTTTGTGGTTGTCCATTCTTTTTCCTTCTTTGAATTCCATCTGTTTTTCTATTTCTTCTCTCTACTAGTCTCGAAACCTTCACCTGGGCTTGGGAGTTAAGACCCAAAGCCACCAAGACAAAGGTAGACCAGTTGCTTCCGCTGTTTGCTTTTTAGTAATTTCTTAGAGGGAATATCTTTGCTCCTTTCTCACTGTTCTTTCTAGTTTATAACAATCTGCACATTTATAGTTTGAAACTTTTTTCTTATTTTTATTTTCTTTGTTTTCAAAGTGATTTGTTTTATAGAAGTTCTCAATTGGTTTTTCAGGTACACTGTCGGTAACGGTTTTCACATAATTGCTGCACACACAGATAGTCCATGCCTGAAACTAAAGCCAAAGTCTGCATCATCCAAATCTGGCTATCTTATGGTAAATGTGCAAACTTATGGTGGTGGTTTGTGGCACACTTGGTTTGATAGGGACTTGAGTTTAGCTGGAAGGGTCATAGTGAAAGGTGAAGATGGTTCCTTTTTACACAAGCTTGTCAAAGTAAAGAGGCCTCTGTTACGAGTACCTACACTGGCAATTCATCTTGATCGGTCTGTTGCTTCTCCTTATTATTTAATTCCATGAACTGTACTAACATAATTTTACATAGCTGTCTGTTGATTTGGAACTGTGGTTAGAATTGTTACATTTGGCTCTTTGAAGTTATTGTGAGCATGTTATAATAATAGAAATATTATTTGAGCATGAGAATTTTTTCTCTCTTTTTTTTTTCAATCAGTAATTGCACCAGACTTGATTTATATTTACACACATGACCGTTGCTTGCTCCATTTGAGGAGCCTTTTCTGGGTTTTAAGGAGAATTCTATGTCATTATAACCTGTTTGGTTGACCCAAATAAGCAAGTCACTATTTGGAATAAATAAATAAATAAAAAGTGAATAAGGAAAAGAAAAACTAAATAAGTAGGTTAATTTAGTCTTGTTAGTTTGAACCTTTAGATCTCCCTTGTGGGTTTTGGTAAAGAATATTCTCATTGCCAAATTTATTATACCTTTGTGCCGGAGTCAGGCTATTAATCAATTAGGGATCCTTGGACTTCTTTTAGCCTTCATGCTTGGAGTAACTTTTATGCTTGTTGATGATCTTATTTTAATTATTTTCTTCCACATGGTCCTACTCTGATACAAAATGATCATGAATCTCTCTCTCTTCCTGTCTAATCAAATTTGTACATATCTAGGTCATAACAGAATCCATGTAGCACATCAAGTGTTGTGGGAATCAACAGCCTGAAGATTCTGGAATAGACAATATTAGAATTCAAGATATCTATAAATTAGTTAATTTACTTGTTTATGTTTTCTGCTACTCTTGCATGCTGGCTACCTGTCCTCTCAGTTTAGCGGGCAGCAGGTGGTCTGTCATGCAAAGTTGGTTTCTTTTTTATCAACTTCCTTGTAGATCTATATTGATTGACAGAAGATAATTCTTTTTTCCTTTTTTTTTTTTTTGGAGGTGGGAAGAGGAGGGGGGGGCATATAGAATTTTCGATTTGATGATTTAAACATTCCTCCTTCAATTCTTACTATCATACAACATATCATACTTTATATCTTGTATTTCTAATGTCTATAGAATTTTATCCTGATCATCTTATTTGGAGATAATATGTGTTAAACTCTCCTCCTAATCGTCCTATCTCTCAATTCCACCCATGTACCAATAAATATCTTATATTCTAATCCCCTAAATTCATTTCAGAAGAATTTAAATCATAATAAATTTGAAATGTATAGTTGTATATTTGAAATAATATGTAAGAAAACTTAGAAAAGAATGATCTAATCGATACCTCTGTATGTTGATCCTTCAATACCTCTCATTAGTGGTATTAAAATTTCTTTCTTTCTAAGTCTTAGAAAATATTGATTTTTTAAAAATAAATAGAGAGATAAAATACAAGAAGTTTGGTGTGTTTTGATGAGTTTCAATCCGATTATATTTGAGTTGCTTCAGCTTAGATTCATAACCATGCACTTATTATCTGCTTTGGCAAATTATTTAGTTTTTATATTATGGATTGCAAAATTTCCGTATTTGCTCATATCATCTGCTGTTCAAATTTTCTTCTTCTCTCCATTTTTTTTTTTTTTTTTTTTTGTTGTATTTAGCACAGTGAACAAGGATGGGTTTAAACCAAATCTAGAGACTCACCTCATTCCGCTTCTTGCAACAAAACTTGAGGATGTCTCTGCCGAGTCCAAAGAGAAAAGTAATGCATCATCTTCAAAAGCTGCTCACCATCCACTGCTTATGCAGGTATTCTCTTAGCTGTGGTCAATTGAGAATAGAATCTATATAGATATACATATTTTCTGTTTTCGGGTGGGCTGCACAGGTGGACTAGTAATGATATAATGGTGCTATGCTGTAGAATAGGCAGTGAGAACCCTTTTAATGCAATTCTGACAGGAAAAAAAGAAAGGTTCTAGCAATAAATGTACTAACAAAATAGGAAAAAAAATATCTACAAAGTCCTTTAAGAAAAAAAAAAAAAAAAAAATTGATCTAAACAATCCACTAATTTTTTTTATATTTCCAGAAGTCCAAAATTTTATTTTTAATACCCAAAAGACCCAGATGGTATGCAAAAAGGTGGTAGGTGGACAAATATACCCTTTGGGCCTAGATAATCAAATGTCATATATTCCCATATCACGAACATGTTTGCCAAACATACCCCTCTTTCTCTGTGTGGCTCCCCCCCCCCACCAAAAAAAAAAGTACAGTAATTTCTCTGCTAAGTCCATTTGGATTTGTTTGTAAGATTCCTGGGGTTACCAAAATACAGTTATATTGTAGCATTTCATGGTGGACAATTTCTCATTATTTTTCTGAGACTCCAATGCTCCATTCCGTTTCAATTCTAGTTTCGATCTAGACATTTCCTTTATGGCAGAAGTGGAGAATAAAAACTCACGTCTCTCAGTTGTGAATCTGGTCAAGAGCGCAGTCAGTCACCCATCTTCCATCTCCCCAGTTAGTTTCGAGTTTGGGCTGCAGGAGATTCGAGTCGGCAGGGAAGTCAGTCCGGAAGTAGAAAATGCTTTGCTCTGATGGAATAAGTAAAATATTTTGTAATGTACACAGGGAAAAAAAATCTGTATTGTCCCTGTTGTGGTAGTCTCAAGTCGATTTTATCATCTTGATGATATTCTCAGTCTTCTTTTTAACTTTTCTTGGCTTTTGAGGAATGACCATACCTTTTTCCCTGCCTTTGTCTGTTCTACTTATTGTACATACCTGTACAACAAAAAAGAATAATAAAACTTTCTTTTTTACTTGAATTGTAATATTACTGATTCAATATCCTTTTTGCTTTTTTTAATTTTTTTGAAGAAGGGCATTGATTTTTAGCCTTAATTTCCTTTGCAGTTCACCCACTTTTTTTCTTTTCTTTCTTTTTTCTTTTTTTCCATCTTTATGCTATTCAAAGGTGAAAGATGACAAGGACAAGAACAAAAGAAGAAGAATATAAATGGGGTGCAGTGTGTGTGTGTGTATTTGTATATTAAGGATTTTAACCATTAATCTACATATTACATTTCCGTGGTTGTTTTACCAATGCCATTTTTTTGACTGATAATGTTCAATCCATATACAACTGGTGCTGTTCTTTGAATTTTATACTTCATGGCACTTATATTTCAATATTTTTCTGTAATTGGTCACTATACTCCACTATGATGTTCTCAAAAGTTTAATAAAAGATTTTCAAGTTTGGTACTAATTTCTGTTATTTTCTTATATTCGATATTTCTTTCAGCAATTCTGTATTTTGAAACCACACCATGACAATCGATACCAATTGTTTGTTCCTTGTGCACGATTTGATTTGACAGTTTTACCTATTTAATTTTCATTCCTGATAAATTCTAACTGAGAAGAGCCAAAGTTGGCTGGTGAAAGTTTACGGAAAAAGGAAGATGAATGGAATTTACTTGGTGGAGATATTCATTCTAAAGAAATACTTTGTCAAGTAGCGTCTATTGTGGAGAACATCTGAGTAGTTTACAGCTTATTACACAAACATTCTCCTGACTTTTTTGAGATCAAAGAAACTTGAGTATTTTCTCCATACAAGTTTTGGAACATGATGTTTTGCAAAATATCGTAGGAGTCTTGGATTAATGTTAAATGCTTCTTAGATTGACCACAATCTCTTCTTCTTCTGGGTTACCTCATTTTTAATATAAAATGATGGTGCCTAGTTCGGCATTCTGTATATTTGTTGTGGATGTTGGATGGTTGTTCTTGTAATTTCTCTGTATCTCTCTTTCTCAGATTTTGTCAGATGAGCTAAGTTGCAGTATTGATGACATAGTGAGTATTGAGTTGAATGTTTGTGATACCCAACCAAGCTGCCTTGGAGGTGGAAATGATGAGTTCATATTTTCTGGAAGATTAGATAATCTTGCTTCAAGTTATTGCGCATTGAGAGCACTTGTTGATTCATGTGAATCACCTGGAGATTTATCAAGTGAGCATGCTATTAGAATGGTTGCTCTTTTTGATAATGAAGAGGTATTTTTTCTTGCAGTATTTGTAACTTTTTTTGTAGGTTGAGTATTGCTTTATTTTGACTTTGTCTATCATTATACAGTATAGGAAAGTAAGGGGTGATTGCTTTAAGTTGTTCATCTGATTGGTATTAAATTATTGGTCCAGATTTCTTCTAGGATTTTACTCAGCTCACAGTATTTCCATTACTGTTATATCAGATATAAGAAAAGGGCTCCATAGGCCCAATACGGAGCGTTAGTCCTGTTGATGTGGAATTCCTGGAGGGGTGGACTGAAGTTAGGCATTATCTGCACTTAATGGATCAATACTCAATCATATATTGATCTTTTACTATTGTACCAAGCAATACGAAATATGCTATTATATAAAATTGTTCTATAATTCTTTTTTCCCGTGTTATTGGAGTTACTTTCCATCAAGCAATCCACCTTTTCCATAAAATCCGTCATGGCCATGTAGATGCCATAGAGGATGAAGTCCATGCTCCAATGATTGTTGTAACACTTGATACAAGGAGATGATGGACTGAAAAAGCAACGATGTTGTGGGTGATGTTATTGTTCCAGATTGGATTGTCCTAATTATATTTTCTCTGGAATTGTTATGTTACTGCTAAGTTCACTGTGGCATGTTCACATCATATTCCGTCCACAGTTGGTGTGAATGTTGAAAGTCCTCTATATGCATGTTATACTTTCTGTGTTAGACCTAGTTACGTGGTTACTAAGTACCTTTTTCCAGTACATTATGTTGTTGCTGAATTGATACCTTTGATTGTATAGGTTGGTTCAGATTCAGTTCAAGGAGCTGGTGCACCAACCATGTTTCAGGCCATGAGAAGAATAGTTGATTGCTTAGCTCATCAGTATGTAGGGGAAGGTGCTTTTGAGCGTGCGATTCGCAGATCTTTTTTAGGTACGTCCTCTATTGGACCTTTTAGTTGTAATACGAAGATGGATTTCATCTCCATTGATGCATTTGCATTTTTTATTACCATCTTTACATATCTTATCTGTGGATTTGTTTTGTTAATTGGAATTAGCTTAAAGCAGGGGGTATCTTCAAATTCCAGTATTCTATATGGCTTTAGAGATCTCTTTTATGACGGGAACACATAGGCACACAATGTTTAATCAAGAGGTGCACTTATAAACATCTGAAATGTGTGTCTATAATTTTACTTATTATAGTTTATTATCTTTACGTTTATCTCTATGCATTTATAGTACAGGACCATGGCGGAGCCAGAAATTTTTTTCAGAGGAGGCAACCATTAACAGTAATATGACACAACAATTTAGACCAAAATAATAAATAGCAAAGGAGGGGTCTTTTGACTCTTTTCTGAATTTGAATTTATAAAAATTTTGTGGGACCCATTGGAGGAGAAAAGACATGGGTCTTTTTTTAAAATTTTAAAAATTATGTTGGGCCAATGAGTTAGAAAATGAGGGGTCATTTTGAAATTTGAAAGTTTTTCTTAAGGTTTTTTGTGAATTTTTTAGGAGTTTAGTGGGGGCATTTTTACAATTGTTGAAATTTATGTGTAGAAAATTAAAATAAGGAAAATTCCAGTGGGGGCAATTACAATTGCCCAGCGTGGCTAAGCCACTGGTGTTGGACTATAGGTAAAGCTATTCCAGTGTAATTGGATTTAGGCTTTGCTGAGTATGTAAATGTGTAGTTATATAGGATGAGCTAATTATCCCCTCCTAAAGGAAGATCACCTTGTCCACAACTTTTATTTGGCAAAAATGCCTCCAAAATGAACTCTCTCTCTATTGTTTTTTTCAATAATTTTACCATCCTTCTTGTTTAGCCATGAAATGCAGAGTTGGTAAAGTGGCCTCCTCTCTCTATATATATCTCTGTATATACACACAAATCTATATATAAGTATATGGTGTTTTTAATAATGCATCAGCCACATTATCCAATCACTGTGCTCAGATTTGTTGTTCACACTTCATTGTTTCAATTTGCAGATTTCACCTGTCATCTTGTTTGTAGGATGATCTATAGTTCATTTTGATCCAGGATACGAAGTTATCAGTGATCTGAATATGCACCGAGGGGATACTATCAGCACTCACCTATTTAATGCTATTTTTAGGAAAGCCTCCATGGTTTTGTATTGTCAAATTCTGTGTATCCTAGTTTAACTTATAATAGGCCTGATGTCCATGCTTGGGGCTTGTGGTGTGGGATTGTTTTGTGTTTGAGTTCTCAATTGTTCGAGAAAGATTATAATCAGAAAATATTATTGAATCCCATAACAATCTCAAAGTATGATTTATTGGGATTTGGGATGCTTGATACCTAATTTTCATCTAAATTGCACAAAGGCATCTTAGATTTAATTTTTTCATTGGCAAGAAACACACTCACATGCCCCTACACGGACTTGAACCCTCATAGATGCAATTTTTTCATTGTTAAGAAACAAACTCACACACTCACATGCCCCTACAGGGACTTGAACCCTCAATCTTCTACTTTGGAAGGCGAGGAAGTACCACTAGATGTCATTGCCGTGAAGATTCGCTGAATATAGCATTCTTAGTGTTCGTAGAGGAAAAAGAAGAGTGAAGGGACAGAATGAAAGGGTTAAACCAAATGACTTGATAATCTTCTTGAGGGTTCCAAAAAGCCTTCTCATGAAGGCATTTTTGTTGGATGAAAAAATGTGGACAAGGGTAAGCACAGTGCAGAGAGATACATGCTTTTATATCCTCCACAAGTTAGTGCTTTTCTTAGTACAATGAATTGTAGCTGTTGACAGTGATTCAAACTTGTTGGGCAAATTTCTAATGTCTATGTAACAAGAACAGGGAGGGACATGGGTATTTGTGCAAATACGAGGTGGCCTAACATAGTAACTTCCAAAGTAGAATGTAGTACAACTATCTGAAAAGCTTCAGGGTCGATAGTCAGTAGAGATAGGGTCTGACATGGGAAAATTGCAGAATCCGAAAAAATAGAGTGTTTTTTTATTTAGTGTGAAATTATAAGTATTAATCAAATTTCCTGAGCTACTTTTGAATGTTTAATGTAGTGTCCGCCGACATGGCTCATGGAGTTCATCCAAATTTTATGGATAAGCACGAAGAACACCATCGGCCAGAATTACAAAAGGGTCTTGTTATCAAACACAATGCAAACCAGCGCTATGCAACAAGTGGAGTTACAGCTTTTCTTTTCAAAGAAGTTGCAAAAATTCATAACCTTCCGACTCAGGTGATTGCATTTTAACATGATGCGTTGTTAATGAAGGAAGTACTTCAAATTTATTTGTATTTTTATCCACATCTTTTCTCTACTACATTTAATTCTGCAAATGATGCTTGTGGCCAAGTGCCAACCATATGGAGGTTATGGTGATTGGATCACCATCATGCATTAGCCAATTTTGCCTGATGGTTATCCTCATATGTTAATATAAAGTCTAAGCACTCATAATAAATTTGGCTCTAAAACGCTAAGCTGGTTTCATAGGGTGGGTGATCAATGTCCCTAATTCAAAGTTTTGCCATTTGAACCTTGAAATTGTGCATGAGCTAATCAGTAAACGTGGACTTGAACTAACTTGCGCATTTGGTGGTTGGGAAGGGTAAACAAATATTCTTGTCATTTAATTGTCAATGACCATTTTTTTTCAAGTTTATCATTGAATTCAACATTGGCCCCATAAATAGTGTGCAAGTTTTTAACTTGCTAGGCACAATAACAATCGTCATTTTATTCCTTTTGGTGTATCATTCCACGTATTTTGTAATCTTGCAAATAGTATTGTGGCCAATGAAGTGTTCAAAATCATAATGAATGGCAGATGAAGTATTCAATAATCCTGTTCTTAGACACTCATTAATGATGAAATAGTGAGTGACTACGTTTTTCCTTGTCATTGAAGAATTTTGCTTTGTGAAATGACATGGTCTGCCATTTTTAATAGGAAATTATGGCATAACCACAGATTCTCTACTGTTGTCTTTTGTAGTCCTAACAGTAAAAATGGAGTTTGCTTGTCCATACATACGCAGGAATTTGCAGTGAGGAATGATATGGGATGTGGATCCACTATAGGTCCCATACTTGCATCAGGGGTTGGTGTTCGTACAGTTGATTGTGGCATTGCTCAGCTGTCCATGCACAGGTATAAAATTCATTTGCTTTCTTGAACTTCCATATTCATTTGCTTAGTTGAGTGTGTATGAACAGTGTAGGGGTAACTAAGTATTTTGTAAACTGTATCGTCAGACTTATTTACGTATTTGAAAAGTAAAAAAATTCATTAATTTTGTTTGATCGAATTATCTAAACTCCTGTACTGGGAGCTACAATGAGTTGATTCAAATTAATGGAGTTTTTTTTCTTTTTTTCCCCCCAAACTTTTAAGCCATCTAAAATGCCATTCTTTATACCACCTTTAGAACGTGAAATTTAGTTATATCAGTGACAGTATATAAATGGCAAGGTCTATCTTTTTTTTATGTCTATCCACACTTTCACATTTTAAATAAGGATTTAATGCATAGCCTGCTGCAGTGCACATTTGTAGTAGTTGAATGGCACAAGCTTGATCATAATTTGATGGCTATTTAACTTATTTAATGGGGTAATGTGATTGCATTTGACCTCTCTATGTCTGTTTGCTATGTTGAACCAATTCTTCCATGCTACCATCAGTCTTATTTACAGAATGTAAACAGGGTTTCCTCTTCTTGCTATGGTTCCATGCTGAAAAGAGACCAATTCACTATTACACATTTTTATTGCTGCTTTCTTTCGGCTGAGCTACTATTCTTGTCTCTTTGATTGCAGTGTGAGAGAAATCTGTGGGAAGGAAGATGTTGATATTGCTTATAAGCATTTCAAAGCATTCTACCAAACATTCTCAAACATAGACAAGAAGTTAAATGTGGATTCTTAATTGCTCGGCCAAAAGAAGGATATAAATTTGTGAGTTCTATTTGTAGCCCCATTCATTTGTCTCTGAAAGAGAAACTGTAGTTCATATATTCATTTTGCCTCTAAAAGTATAGTTTGGGAAAAGATGAATGTATGGGTTGGTGACAGAAACTATGGTGGAAGTAAAGACTTTGTATTTATATGGTTTTACAGAATATATGAGAGGAATCGGACTAATTTTAGTTGTATTAACGTGAACAGGGTTTGCTGGAATTCATTGGATTTGAAGTGGAAGTGGAAGTGGAAGTGGAGGTTTGGTTGAAGTCGAGTTTCGGACTTGCTTCAGAAAGTTTCTGCTTCAGCTCAGACAACAAAGCCTGATTCTCCCGGTTGAGCAGTTCAGCTTTCCTCCGTAGCCTCTCATTTTCCCAGATAATCTGACAGTTCTGCAAGTACAGCTGTGAATTTTGTTTCTCCATGGGAAGAATTTGTATGGCCCCTGAAACTGAAGATGAGACACATTATAAATAATTTCAGGTAAATGCTTACCCAAAGGAAAATATTTATCTTTTAAAGAAATAATATGTATCAGATGAACATCTAAAGATCTAGGTAATACTTGAAATGGTTACTAAATTTTGGTTGTGTCCTGAAATTAAGATACAGCATCAGAGCAAGAAATGCATGAGGAATTCTGAAACTAAGGCAAGTGGATATGAATGAAATAATTGATGAAGAGATGGTGATGTAAGATAACAGGGGAATCTGTCTGTGTGTATGTGCAAATGTCGACGACGCAAGAGAGTTAACAAACCCTTGTCAATCTTCAGTGAAAGAGCATTCAATCAAAATGAAGTGGGGGAGGCAAGCGGATTAATGATTTTGATCGCATGAGATATATATATATACACACACACACACATCACACGCTATTGTGATGGGTAGGACGTGGAACACTTGAAACAGCAAGCTTCCATATTGCAAAGCCCCATTGTCTGCCTTTTCTGCTGAAGGCTTGTATATTTTGAGAGACTTTAACCGCGAGACCGCAGAGAGAGAGGGGATAACTTTTTAGGAAAAAGATAAAGGACTTTAAATGGTGGTGCACGTGGAAGTTGTTTGTGTTGTGGCACCGAGTGGAGTCCTTAGCTTGGGGAACAAAGGTAGGACAGTTGGAATGTTGACGTACACGGAGAGAGAGAGAGAGAGAGAGAGAGAGAGAGAGAGAGAGAGCATGCATGTTTTGAGGTTGTGAGCACGGGAGACAGCTGAAGGATAAGTGAGGTTTTTGATGTTCATGTCATGGTATTCTCGCTTAAAATCCTTGTCACACACTCGAGGAGAGTTCTGAAGCCACGGCTGTTTAAAACCATTGAGCTTAAATACTTCTTCTCTAAGTGGATGTTGCAAAATACTTGCCTTTAATTTCTATAAAAATTTAATTTAATTTAATTTTAAAAAAAGAAAAAAAAAATTGTGAGAATAGCCTAATGAGAAAGACTTTCACTGAGAAATTTTCTAATAATTACCCAATGCATGTGGGAGGATGGCACGTGCTTGGCGGTAGATTACGGATTGCTCTAAGATAGGTACGGACCTATGATGGGGCAGTTGGGATGGGGTGGCTATTCTGACTGAATTTTATTATTATTTATTTACAAAATTGCATATAATTTTTATTAAAACATTAAAATTACACCCGCTTAATATTTTATAATACCTTACTATATATTCTTGTTATTTAAGGCCGTCCCAACTGATTTTTTTTTTTTATTAATTACAAAATTACCTATAATTTTTATTTAAATCTTAAAAATTATTTTCACTCAATTTTTTTAAAAATTATATCCTTCTTGTTAAGCCATCCATCATACAAAATTTTCATACAATTTTTTGGGTTTTGGGTCCCTCCGATGCCAACATCATAGTACTTGGGATTTTTAGAAAAATTAAATATTGAAACCAATCCGAGTTTCACAGTTCCAACAAAAGTGAAACCTAGCCAAGTCGAACAAGAAGTCCAAACCGAACAAATATTGCGTAATGAAATGGAACGGAATGGATTGGTTAAAAACCAATAGGAGATGAGTGTGGGAGATAATTGTCAAATACCAGAAAGAATACAAATATATACACACATATATATAGGTAACACTTGCAAGCATTGATATAAATACATCATCCACATAAAGCATACATATGTGAAGAGCAAGCTCCGGGTAGAGATGCGAGATCAAAATCAGTAGTCTGTATAATATAGTTTTGACTCCACACAATGTCTCGATTATCAACTCAAATTTCCTGGTTCGTCGTTAGGCCATAGCAGCAATTATATACAAATCAAATTTCCTCACACTGCTTTTGAGAGCATAGAGGCTATAGCAGCAATGACAAAATCAAGTTCGTCGCTCACCTTTTGAGAACATAGGCTATAGCAGCAATGACAAGATCAAGCACCTCCTTGAACAGGCCTCGTTTCTCTGGTCCAATCGCAGTCACTGACACTGCATCAACATCAAGATTGAGATCTAGCTCGAAGGCCTCATCAACGAATATTTGCATTTGTCTATCCCCACGTGAACCACGCTGGAATACATCATGTGCGTCCTTGGTTCACTTTCTGATTCCCACCAGCATCCCCACTTGAGCTACTAGTGCTTAAGTTATACATTTGCTAAGAAGCAACGTTGGTATATCCCTCCCCTTTATTCCATACTCTTGGAATTATCTCAAGGAATGTGAATTTGCATTACCGGCAATCTGTGACAATTTTATGTGGCCTCTGTTACGCAACCTTGACGAAACCAGTCTTCTGTTGGTAAATGTTGTAGGATGTCTGCTAAACAAATCAGGTAAATAATTGTCCAATGAAACCAGAGACTGAAATGAATAATACAAGGGCTACATGTTTGAGTAGCCAAGCCAACCATTGCGAGGAAATAGGCACTGCATTCCCTCCATTGGTTGTTGAGTAGGATCCCCAATGAGCTTCCCGACATGTTGCTCCTTGCTCCATCAGTAGCACTGAATAACAGATGATCAAGATATTCATTCATATGAACAAAGAGGCAAAAGGAAACATTGAGATTTTAAGAAACAAAAAACATAAAAAAGAAAAAGAGAGGAAAAAAAAAAAAAAAAAAAACACCTATCATTAAATTCCAATGGCGTACACTTTAAAATGTTCCAGTAAGAAAAATATTGATTACAATGATGACAATGTTTATGGTGATGAAATCAACAAAGTTGTTCGATAAGAAAATCATTAACGAAAAAAGAGAATGTAATGACATTCTATAGATTTTGAAGTAAATGACATACGTATTACCGGGCACATAGTAACAGATACAGCGAGACCTATCAGAAATGAAATTTAACTATTTTTCTCAAGAAGAACCTCAAGAGGATGAACACAACATGGAAAAGGAAAGACCTAACCGTGTCCAACCCATCTAACCACTCAAAATTCAACTAGGTTTGGATCAATAATTTTTGTCCGGAAAATTTAGGTTTAGGAAAGCACCATTGTAGACCATGTTGATTTTCAGATTGCCAATGTGGACAAACTAAAAATAAATAAATAAATAAATAACAAACATAACAGTATTGTACTTCAAAATAAAAAATAAATAAAAATGAAACCTGATGTACAAGCACGGTACATGCAACATAAAAAAACAACACCAAAAAAGAATAATCTAATAATCAATATAGACCAGAGATCCCTTGCTGCCTTGACGCACTAAAGGTTTCAAAAGAAGCACCTCACCAATAGATTCAATTTTACACTTGGGGTCTCAACACCTTCATGAATACTCCCTACCTTCTCTATCCAAATGCTTCAAGGCATGGCCTGAGGCACCATTTAGAAATACATTTCTATTTACTTCAGTTTGCTCCATCGCTCCAACTCACAAGCACTCCCAAAGTTGATCAGAAGGTACTATAGATCCAATAAAACAAAAATAGAAGCCCACAACTTCTGCGTTGGCGGAAAAAAAAATATTGTGTTTCAACACATAATGTATCAATTTAGAGATTAATTTTTTTAGAAAATCAAATGATCCACAACTTTATACCCATTCCTTCTGACCAAAAAGAAAGAAAGACGCAATTGAAAGGATCTTTTCACAAAGTTTCCACACACCAAATTAGCCAACGCCTCGTAGAGTGACTTCACTGAAAACAAACCATTCGCGCTCTTCCATACCCTAACATCATCAACTCCCTAGTTATCTTCACCTTCTATAGCATTGCAGAGGAACATTTCCAAATCTTAAGCACTGTGTTTTTATCAAAAGCCAAATCAGTGAATTTCATTTCTCTCCTGCACCATACCATCAGTAACCATAGATTTTTGATCCATCAAGAACTCTAATAAACATGGAAATGCCTCTTTTAGAGCTGACCTCCCAGTTCCAACACCAAGCCTCACTCCAAAACTTCACCAGACCGTCCTTCACCACATTGAAACTCAACCCTTCAAAATTCTCATTCTTCTTATTTATTTATTTATTAATAAGAGAAATGGAAATGTATTGGAAACTAGGCAAATATAACAAAGACAAAAAGACCTTTAGATAAGAAACCATTTCAAACAATCTAATGAAACAAACAACAAAAGCTGAGGAGGATAAAAATAATAACTAAACACTTCAGGGGTATTAGTTGCCTAGTTAGCTAAACCTCAACTTCTGATTAACTACCTTGTGAGCGCTATCTACGATCACATGAAGCACATACAAATATTTTAGAGGCCCTTCAAATCCTTTTTTGTCCCAATTCAAAGAATCCGTTCATCAAATTCAAGTTGGGACGGAGAGCTTTGTTTCTCTCTCGTCAGTTGACTGGCACCTTATTAATCAAATTTACTAATTCTTTTTAACAGTTTTTACTTTTTTTAGTCTGCCTTGGCTACCAAAAGCAAGTTTGCACTTTCCTAGAGGAAAAGAAGAACTTTACATGTAGGGCTGTAAACGAACCAAGCCAAGCATTGAAGTGTTCGGACATGGCTCACCAAATGCAGGGAGGTGCTCAAGCTCAGCTCATGTTCAAACAAGCTTTGCCTAGCCAAGGCTAGGCAGTGTTCAAGCGGAACTCGAGCTCGGCTCGGTTGAGCTTTTTATGCATATCAACAAACAATTGTATGTAATCTTTGTGTGTTTGCATGTGTGCTTAACTGTATGTATGTGTGCATCTATATATATACCTGGGGGAAGAAATCGCCATCGATCTTAAATCAATTAGTGATCTTCACCTCAATCTTTGATTCCACAATTTCATGCAAACCAAAGACCTTCGCGATCAAGAAGTTGATATCACAGGCAATTCTATCTGTGTTACAGTAGCCGTTGACGAAGAAGGGTATCCACCTTTCTGGTTGGTGCTGCAACTGCTGGGTCTTGTTGCCTTCCAATTGGCGCTGCAATTAGGGACGATGAGTTGGAGAAAGAGAAGGTAATAAGAGATTATGGTTTATATGATAATAAGTATATAGTAGGTTGGCTAAGGAATATAGATGGGCTTGGGTTGATTAAGTTTTAAAAGAGATAAAATTGTATAATATAGGTTGGGATGGGCTCGGTTTTATCTGAGAGTTGAGACGAAATTACATTGGCAATGAATCTTCCTAATGTGACCTAAATATATAAAATTATAATACGCACATATTCATGAACTTAAAATGACCCCTTTGGCACAAGATATGGATTGTTTGAACTCATTTGATAATAGAGCTTAAAAACTTTGTTCGAGCTCAGTTTATCTACTAAATAAATGAACATTAACCAAGCCCAAGCGGTTTACAAACAGCTCGTTCATTTGCAGTTCTAATTACATGAACCCCCCATCAAGACCTCAAACAAGGCGTTTGAATAAAGGCTCGTTATCACGAAGGCACATGCCCAATATAAGCTGTCTCATGGTTCTCACCTTAGTTGAAAATTTGTCTTGATACATCCTGCCCCCAAGTCAACTAACATGGGCAACCTTCGGTAGCACAAATAGGCGATTCAAGAGCAGAGCAGCCAAATAATTCTCGAGTTCTCACTTCCCACAACGCCAAAGCCTGCCTTGTCTCCTGTCTTATCAATGCCTAGAAGATGGATATATTTTAGTCAAGTCGGCGCTGCTCTCACAAAAACCATTTTCAGAAACTCCAATTTATAAGAGTGCTTGTCCAAACAAACTGAAATAGTAACAAAAAGATGCAAATGAAAAACCAAAACCAAATATCTGCATGGTACATCATGTGGCTCACTATTTTATTTCTACATATAGATCCTGTAGTAGATGAGAAATGGGTGAGTATCAGAGGCTTTGTTAAATGAAGATGGTCAACCCCACATTAAAGACATGCCAAAAGCAAATGACCACCTCTCCTGCAAAATATATATTTCCTACATGGTGATTTATGGTGCTGTAACATTACCAATAACACATATTCTAGGTATTCAAATTTCAGGGGAAAAAAAAGTACTAGAAAAGCTATGCATCTAGGAAACAATGAAAAAGACAATTGCTTGGGGGGGGGGGGAGGGGTTGCCCGGGCGGGGGAGGGGGAGGTTATTATAATTACAGAAAAAGGAATGAGGGATACCTTCATCTGAACGAATAATATACATTCTCAGCTCTGGCAAATTCTTTCCCTACTTTTTCATCATCATCGTCATCAGTGACAAAGCAGAACTCTCAAGGAGCTCATCCAAACAGGGGTTTGCCAAGACCAATGACCTTCATCAAATAATAAGGTAGCTCTAATTGAAACCAAGACTGGTGGAACGAAGAAATAGGATTATGAAGACTGATGCGTCTGCTCCACCCACCTTGGTTGTCTATGCCTGCACCGCTGTCGGTTAATATAACATGTGCTGCTATAGCAGCAACCCCGCAATCTGAGATCACTCGAGCAGGGTGCAGGCATGGCCCAAACCCCTTACCGGGGCCGGGCAAAACCAAAACTAGCATCAGGTTGCTGCAGATGAAACTACATAGAGACATGCAAAGAATAAATAAGAGGGATTCAGAATATATGATGGGAAATGAAACCAGAGAGAAATGAAATTTGTTGTATGTCAAGTTGCCAACATAAAAAATAAAACCGTCAAATTTTCTGATAGGAATGTGGTAAATGTCTTATCAACATAGTAACATATATGGGTAGGTTACATTTATTATGTTCATCAAGCTCAATGAACATTAAAAATTTTATTTTGATAGGACACTAACTAGAGAGAGAGACTTCCACATTTAAACTGACTGAATAGACCGTTGCAAAAACAGGTAGAACAACTGCGTTTGATTATCAGAACTTCTAATTTTTAAATTTATTTTTGGTATGTAGCGTGTTGGTGGCAGGCCACCTTTTTCCTTTTTTCTTTTTATTTTTTCTTGTTGGGGGTGGAACATAATTTGAGCATCATTTTAAATCATTGAAAGAGCTAATCCAGATTGCAAAAATTAGAAAGTTTTTAAAACTATACATCTGTGGGTCCCATATTTTTCAGGTTTACAGGACCAGAGGGCTTGGGGGTTGTTATAGTCCTCATGTGTCTACAATAGGGTCAGCAAGATCCTAACTATTATAAATTTACACTAGGAAAAGAAAGCCATTAAAATTAGCACACCTGTGGAAAGGGTTGGTGAACATGTTCATGAGAATGCAAGAACGGCATTCCAGGGCACTGGCAAGGATACTGGGGGGAATGCAAGAACAGAGCAGAGGAGGAACGGGAACTGACATGATTGGGACCAAATGGTGCCATCATGGTCTCTGGATGACCATACCCAATTCCTGCAGGAGCTGATGCTGCAACCCATGGCCCTGGTAGATGCTGAGGGAATGGTCGAGGTTGGTGTTCAGAAGTGCTATGGGGCCTATGAACTGATCCAAGCTGTGGAAATTCAGTGTTGTAGTTCAATGCAGGAGAGTACATAGGCTGAATAGTGTAGTGTCCTCCATTGAACCCAAACCCAGGATCAAATCTTTGCATATATCTGGGGAAAAACATATACTACTGCATTAAGGTTATACAACAAATAAGAGGTATGGCTAATGTTTACTATATCTTAAGCTACTCATTATCTAATTACAAAACAGTGCTTTCAAATCCAGACACTATCAGAGAGTAGAAATTCAAAACGTCAAAATCAACCACGTGTCTGCATCTCAAATATATATATATATATAAACTATGTTGTCAATGTAAATTGCATATTTTTGTCTTCTATCAAGTAATGCCATTTAATCTAATTATATATTTAAACTTACACATGTCAATTGTCCATCATGGTCAGTCTAGTATGTAAAATAAAATAAAATAAAATAAATAAAAGAAGAAGAGGAGGAAAAGAACTAGGCCCTTCCATGGATTCAATTTAGGTTTAAAACACAGCATGAAAGGCTAGCATTTTTTCCTTTAACCAAAGTTCGATCTTCCAGAAATAAGAAGAAAAAAATAAATAAATCATGGTCAACAACAACCACCACCAAGCCTTTTCCCAATTACTTGGGATCGGCTACATGAATCCTACGTTTCCATTCCTCTCTATTTAAGATCATAGCCTCTGTCAAATAAATAAATCACTGGTGGAAGAGAATAGATATTAGTTCCAAATAGTTTGAGCATTATTACTAAGATAGAGGATATATACAAACCGCAGGGGGAAGCTGTACTGACCACAGTCAATCAGTCCCGCAAATATTCCCAACACCAACAAAATGGCCAACCCAATTTATATAATCCATAGGGATTGTATGTGCATGCCAGCCAGCCAGACATCCGCAGGAGGAAATGTAAAAAGAAAAAAAAAAAAACTTTTTGAAAATAACAAGATTAAAAGCTAAACATATTGCATGTTTAGATCATGCATTCTAAAATTAGCTAAAGATCACTCTCATCACATGGATGAGTGTTGTACCCAAAATAAAAAATAAAAAATAAAAAAAATTGCAGCCTCGTTACCATCAATAATCGCAGTAGTAACATAAACCAATCTGAGTGAAAGACAGTAACAAAACAAGATTTCTATGCCCTCGTAGTTTAAAAAAATAAGGATAAAAAAGAAGGAAGCAAAACCATCCAAAAGATATAAATTAAATTCAATACTTTATTTATTTATTTGTTGGAGGGTGGTGGAATGAATAATATTACCTCTCATAGTTTCTGTCATAATCAGGATCCTTGCAATCAACTTCACGGTCTCGAAAGATAGCCACCCTGCTATTTGTTTTGAACCTACCAAGTGGCTCCTTCTCTGTCCAACCTCTAACTGATCTGCTGCTACCTGGTGAAAAATCAAGTGAACTCCTACCTGTATTCGTATCAGATCCACCTGGAAGAGATTTTTCTTCTATCTTCGATATTCCCAACGAGCCACGGCGTAAACTCTCCTGCATTTTTGGTTCATTTTCTGATTTTTCAACAGCACCCCCACTAGAACTACTACTGTTAGAGTCAAATATCCGTGCACGAGCCTTGTTGTACTCCTCTTTTCTTTCCTCCATGCTTTTAGAATTATTGCTCTTTAGGGAATGTGAATTTGCATTGCTACTAATCTGTGACCATTTCTGTGGCCTCTGTTTAATTGCAACCTTAGTGACACCACTGTCTTCTGTTGGTAAGTCTACAGGGATGTCTGCTAAACGAATCAGAGGAAGCCGACTGTCGGAAGTCTTGCGGACAATAATTCTGGAACCAGAACCATCAGGTAAACTATTGTCTAATAAAACCATTGACTGGAGTGAATAGTGCAGTGCTACACGGTGTGCAGCCAACCGTAGATAGGAAGTAGGCAGCTGCTGGAACTCCATTTGGTCTTGAGTAGGATCCTGGATGAACTTCTCAACATCTTGCTCCATCCGTAGAACTGAAGAACAGATATAGTAAATATTCATTTGTCATTTGTGTGAACAGAAAAAGGCAAAAGAAACCAACACATCACTGTCCGGATTTTTTACAAAAATTTAAAAACTATGGATACTCAATTGCCAACAGAATACATTTACATCATAGTTCAAAACTTAAATTTTAACAACGATCATTTCATGATTTGACGACGGTAGTGATACTGATGATGATGATAAAAGGAACTCATTTGTTCATCTACCAAAATATTATAAAACCACACTTATACCTTTATAGACAACTAAGTAAGGGGAGTAAAATCACATAAATCAACAATACCTAACAAAATTTTACTACCAACAAATTATATGAAATCGAAGTAAGATACAATAATCCAAAGTCCAACCTCATTATATATATATATATGTAGTTATAATCGAAGTACAAAAAATCCCAGTAACGGATACAGAACCCAAAAACAGAAAAACTTGCCTGAAAGCCGTTCACGAGGCTTTTGCAAAGCTTCTCGGAGAAATTGATCAACCGAATTGATAACATCTTCGGAAACACCACCAGGTGAAGCCGAAGTAGAAGAAGACAACGAAGCTGGACCAGAAGACGAAGCTGAACCCGAAACGTCGCCCAGCTCAGGAGAAGTAGATGAAGACGACGATGGTGCTTTACAAGAAGTGTCTTTCTTGGATGAGAGAATCAACCGGCTCATACTGGTGTCCAAGTCCGCCAACTCCCATGAATCTGGTGGGGCTCCGATGTTCTTCCCAGAGCCCTCCATGGTTGAGCGGAGTCTAGGGTTTGTGTATCGAAGGAATCATCAAATTCAGCTCAACTCTAGGATCTAGTAAACCCTAGGTTCGAAAAACTGGTCGAAATTCATGAGAAGGGCAGATTGAAATTGATGGTTGACGAGAGATTAGGGCACGCTATAGAGGATAGGGTTTGACGATGAGCGCGCGAAAGCTTCTTCGAGCGCGCATTCTCTGTGTCCGGAGTGTCGTTTCACTTGTCTTATGCATCGTTTTGCGTGTGGAAACTAGTTAGCAAAACCAAACAGCTGGATACACGGCTTAACAAGTGCCACTGGTGGGACCCACATGACAATTATGGTTCCGTTTGGGTTGATTTTATGAAAATAGTTCCCGATGACTTGAAAATCAATGTCACATAAAGTGTGAACAGAGACGGATTAGCAAGCAGTGAAAAATTAAATGAGAGCGTAAGAGGAAAACGTACTAGAGAAGAATTGTGTGATTTTAAATAATAAAAAATAATACAAGGTATATTTTAATTGAAAAAGACTTTTGATATTTTTATTGTATTTTTAAAAAATACTCTAATTTTTTAAAAAATAACCACCAAAGTTTCTATCCAAATATTTTTTAAATAAAAATAAAAAAAAACTATTCTCAAAAATTTAAAGCTAACGAATTTTATATTATATCTATTTGATTGACTTTAATAGATGAATCTACGGTATAAACTCATCCCATAATAAAATTTGTCTCGACATTTTTCTAAGGGTGTCCAGTGAAAACCGTGTATAAAGGAACTAAAATGAGAGAATCATGTAACAGTTTAACATATTTTGTAAATTTTCAATTATAACATTTTTCTATAAAAGTCATTATATTCCGATGGTATTTTGTTATTACGCTTGAAGTACATTGAATTAGAAGATCATGTCATATAAATTACTGTCATTATTTTGGTGTGATTCTTATATACTAAATTCATTATGCTCTCAATCCTTAGAGGTTCAGTGGACTCAAATTTTAGTGTTGATCAAGTTTTTTTTTTTCGTGGGTGTGTTGGTCACTTTGATTTAACAAGAAATTTTAATGTTGATCATTTTGATTTAACAATGTGAGATCTTTTAAAGTTAATATAATGGTATTTTAGGTGGCTAATGTGTTTTGATTAGGGATGGCAACGGGACGGGTTTGGAGCGGGTTTCCCTAAATCCCGCCCCGCCCCTTTTAATTTTTGTCAAGTCCATGCCGGCCCCGAGACTCGCGACGGGTTGAATTTTCATATCCAACCCCGCCCCGTTAGGAAATACTGTGCCCCCGTGCCCACCCCACTAATAAATTTTTTTCTCCCACTTTTTGGAACTTAAACTCCTGCTATTTAAATGTGCAAAGCCTAGGATTGACACAACATAAATAAAATTATGTATTCTAACAAAAATAAAAAAAATAGCATGCACATAACATAATTCAAAGAACATAATAAACAAAAATAAAAATTTAATACAACCAAATCACAAGAAGTTCTAAGCTCCAACTTTCACCATAACCAAAACAAAAGTAAATTTAATACCAAGTTTACATCCCAAATTAGGATTGTAAGAGATGGGTTGGGTAAGCCGCTAAAATAACTTATTAATATATATATATATATATATATATATATATATATATATATATTAAATATAGTTATATGCAGGGCGGGGCGGGGCCCCTAGGATATGTATATTGAACCCTTACCCGCCCCGTGACCCTCGACGGGTACAAAATTTGTATCCATGTCCACCCCAACGGTATAATAAGTGTTCTCATATCCGTTATTAACGGGGCGGAACGGGGCGGTAAAAATTGACATCCCTAGTTTTGATCACTTCAACCTAGTCAACATATTTAGTAAAATGTTACTAAATTATTTATTTAGAAAAATATTTATTTTAATAATTTTATAAAAAAATTTAATTCAGTTATGATAAAGTTTAAATCGGTTATTCAAGGAATACACGAGGTAAATATGCCTTATTTTTCGTGGAGTTACTTATGAATATCCAGAGACTTATATGTAATTATTTAGCAAGGTATGTCATTCTTGTAATTTTCAATTGCATAGTGCAAGTACAATAATATTGTGATAGTTATTGTAATTAATTGGATACGAAAGAGTAAAAACTCTCTCTCTCTCTCTCTAGAGAGCTAAGACAGGAAATCTTTTTGAATCCTTATCTCTCTAGCCTGGTTATTTTATCAGCAATCTCTAGGTCATATTCGCTTAGACAAAAAAACATACAATACACAAAATAGATAGCAAGGGAAAGAGTTCTACAACTCAACCTATGGGATAATAAGCTTTTACTGGTATTTAAGACTAAAGTGATCATGTTCAAGAAAAATGAAAGTATATGACTATTAATCAATTGTCCAAAATTTTAATTATTGCATAAGCAATATAAGTTGTTCATAAGTGATACGCACAGGATGGATCGTATGATGTGAATTCAGTTTTTTTTAACATATACATAGGAGAGAATCCAAGTTTTTGAATATTTAAAAGGTGGAGTAAAATGAGATGACATCCTGATTGTATTGGAAACTTTAACAAAAACAAACTCAAATTCTTTGTGCATACATTTTTTTTTTTTTTTTTCGAAAATTAAAACAATTTTCATTAAGTAAAGAACTTTACAAAGGTTGGGCTTGGCCCATAAGAAAAAGGAGCCCAAGGCTGCAATACAAGTCCAAACTAGGACATACATAAAGCAAGATAACCACCACTAACTGCCGTTAATGGAGCATCAATACAATCCGGTGAAAACAAAGGAAGGCTAAGCCTTGATGTATCAGTCCGGTGGCCGGGGAGGAGGCCTACAGCATGAAGGAGATAAATTCCAATCCATGAGGATCAATTTCGCCGAAGCGCATTCTCTCAGACAACCTGACTTCAAAATACCTACTATTGTGGAGCAAACTTTTGCACAGACGACTCTCTGGGATGATTTGTGTCCTTTGAAAATTCGAGCATTTCTCTCTTCCTAGGTATGGTATACCAAAGCTGATATGCATAATTTCCTATGCAGGTTAATTGGGTTATTTGCTTTCCATTTAGTGCTGATCCACACTACAAGATTCTCCCAACTTGTAATTGTTGTGTGAATGTTGCTCTTGTATTTGATAAAACGCCATAGAGGGGAGGTGAAGTTGCAATTAAAAAATAGATAATCATGAGACTCACTTGATATGTTGCAGGGGGAGTAAATGTTATGATGTTTAGCCATAGATTTACTGTCGAGTGTTGGTAGTTTGCATTGGGCAGGCAGCCAAAGATTGAATTTCATTCTTGGTATGGTTGGATAGTGCCAAACAAGGTTGTGCCATGGGACAATAGGAAGGTCACCTACTATGTGTGCCACAGTGTGTTTGAATGAGTAGTTGCCATTAGGTGAGACTGTCCACTTCTTACTGTCACTTCTAGAAGGGCATGGAGGTGGTAGTGCGAGCAATTCAAGGATTGCACTAGTAAAAGAGGGAGGGAATGGCCAGTTGCTGTCGACAATGAATGTATCCATAGTTGTTGTACCATTAAAACCAGCTGCAGTGAGTAGATGAAGTGGAAATCTTGAACTTAAAGGACCCCTTGGAGCCCAATTGTCCCACCAAAAGGAAGTGTTAGCACCATTGCCTATAGAGTACTTTATGAGTTGTCTAGCAGGGTGCCTTAGTTGGAGAATTTTCCTCCAACTCCAAGAGTATGGCTGAGGGTAGTTCAATGACCATAGGTTTATGGACTTCAGTAGATGAGAGTGGCACCATGTAATACCCCGTAATTAATTAAAGAGTTTAGTGTATTTAAATTCAATTATGTGTGGATTCCTGTACCTATTATTGTGCATGCTTCATTGTTATATTAAGTTCATTTAATGGTGCATGTAAATTAATTGTGTATGTTAAAATAGTAAATTTATGTATTTAATTGTGCATGTATTATTATAATTAATTTTATTTGTTGATTATGTTTAATTAAGCAATATTAGTTAATTAGAATATTATATTTGTGTTATAAAGTATTATGATGATATAATATATTATTTTGTAATAACAATAATAATAATTATATTAGTTTAATAATAAATAATAATATTATAATAATAATAATAATAAAAGTTTATTAATAATAATATTAGTAATAATAATAATAATATTTATAATAATAATAATAGTATTAAACCAAAGTCATGATGAGATTAGAGATTAGGATAGGATTGCATCAATGGTTATGGTTGGAATTAAAGCCATATAGGTAGGAATATGAGAAATGGGTGAGAAGTTATTATAAATTAGATATTTATAATATTTATATTATATATTTTGTCTATAAATTAACTAGCTTGCCTTAGAAAAAAATAAAGGGAGTTAGAAGCAAAGTATAAATTCTAGAGAGCTATTTTATAAGAGTGAAAGGAAAAGAGAAAGAGAAAGAAGCTTGGACCGGTGTAGGCAATTTTACCCGACTACGCGCAGACCGGCGGATTTATTTTAAATCCAAAAAGGCAAGTTATTATCTACTTTTCCCCTTTGAATTAATAAATTAATTGTTTAGCTTATTTTTATGCATAGAGCCAAGGTTTGGAGGTTAATAAATTATTAATTTTATTTTATCAAATTAATGGAATTTTAATTAAGTAGGATGGTATATATTTATTTAATGTCCTATGAAATTAATAATGGCTAAAAATAATTAAATAAGACTTTAGGGATTTTTCTAGAATTTTCTAGATTTTTCCGGGCATTTTCTGCAATTTCCGGCGACCTTCCGGCGAGTTTTCCGGTCGCCGGCAGTGGGGGAGACGACCGGAGTGATCCGGTGCGACGCGGCGCACCATAGGAGGTGTACGCGCGCATCCTGGCCATTAATGGAGTCTGATTGATCCGGTGCATCGCGGTCCATGATACCGCGGTACACCCGGATCAGGGAACGTTGGATGGAGGAGATGCAGGTGGATTGATCCGGTGTGGCGCGCATGCAGGAAAGCTGATGCAGCCAACCAACCGGAGGACGCCGCGTCAGCAAGGCACTCTTAGTGCGCGCGTGGCAGCGCGTGCGCGCGCGTGGGACTCTCCAGACGCGCGTGGGAGCGCGTGCGGGCGCGTGGCTGATGCCAGACGCGCGTGGAGGCGCGTGGGAGAGTGGGGAAAGCTTGGCTGCGCGTGGGGAGGCTCTGGGAGGCGCGTGAGGGCGCGTGTGGGGTCCCTACAGCTGCTGGAAATTACCAGAATACCCCTAGGGCTTGTTTTG